TTTATCAAGTTTTGCAAGATTCTATCAAAGGCTGATTGCACAGATTCCAATCACTGAACAAATAAAACGGTCACTAGAAGCAAAGACTTGAATGAAAAGGACCAAGAGCTTCATATTCTCCTAGAGCTGTTTCTTTACCTGATTCATACCCACTCACCTGTGAGAAATTCCTGTAACACACCTTGCCTGCTCCAAGACTTAGAAGAAAAATGCCAACCATCAGTTAATCCAGAAAAGCGGATTAAGGAGGAACCTTAAAGCACTTCTTAGGCCAACCAAGGACTGCCTTCTACCAACTCCTGGTCTGGTAGTAATTTTGTCTAGGGACAATGGCTCCCCTCTTCTACACCAGGGTGTCCCAACCTTAGCACTACTAACACCTTGGGCAGGACAGTCTTTGTCGTAGAGACTATGCTGTATATTGCTGGATGTTTACCAGCATCCCTAGCCTCTAGGCATTAGATGTCAATAGCACCCCCATCATAAGATAAAATGTCTCCAGGCCTTGTCAAGTATGTGTGTGTGTGGGTCACTCCTAGTTGAGAACCACTGTTCTACACACACACACACACACACACCCTCTTCTCAACACACCCTTCAGTTCTCACAGATTTTTGCCCGAGGTCAGCAGTACACACACAGTGCAGGGGGCTCTAGAAGACATCTCCTTCTCCCTTTAGCACCCAAGACAAAGAAAAGTGGTTTTTAGTGAGGATAAGAAGTTGGAGATTCCTGCCTTCTGGGAGGCTGCTGGCTCCCAGGGAATAAATCCTCCCCAAAGCTGCAAGATCCGTTTGTGGATGCGGGCACACAGAGATCAGGGAGGCAGAGACCCACTGTGAGTCCACTGCACTTGATCGTAGCTGGCAAGGTCGCTCGGCCTGTGGAAGTTAGACGATGGGCAGACTATGCTTGAAAACCTAACTCTGTGTAATTCACCTGGTCCCACATACACAGTTCTTCTTGGGGCATTCAGCTTGAATGGCAGAGCCCTGAGCTATCTTCATCAGCCTCTCTCAGGGGGCAGGGGCAATCCCAGGATTGTCCAGTACAAAACTCATCAGTTATCTTTCAGCAGGTATTTGCTAAGCCTGCCTTGTAAATCTGTTACATAAACTGTACTTACAGGCCAGTGGGGTGGGCATTTTCTAACAAGAAATGCAAACTCTAGGCCCTGACTTGTTACTTCTGAATTTGAAACTGCAGCTTAATAAATTCTCCAGGTTTCTATGGGCATTAATGTTTCAGAAGCATCAATACTGGTAACAGAAGAAAAAACTCTATTTCTTCCTTTGAAGCTCACACTCTGGCTGGGAAGATAGAATTTATAGGTGTGAAACAGTTAAGCACAGCTTAAGTCTACATCCGGGAGCTCTGGTAGCATAGTGCCTAAGGCACTGGACTGCTAACCAGAGGGCTGGTGGTTCAAACCCACCAGCAACTCCTCGGAAGGAAGATGGGGCAATCTACTTCCGTAGTGATACTGCCTTGGCAACCCAAGGAGGGGTCGCTGTGAGTTGGGTCTGACTCGACGGCACATAACAACAACAACAACAAGTCTACATCCAGCCACTCCATGGAAGGAAGACGGGCAATCTACTTCTGTAAAGATTTACCGTGTCAGAAACCCAAGGGGTGGGGTGGCTATGAGTCATAATTGACTTAATGGCAGTGGGTTTTGGGTTGGTTTGATGTGTACATCAGCAAGCACGTTTTGGTAGGAAATTTTGATACAATAGGCTTTGGTGGTATAGTGCCTAAGACATCCGACTGCTAACCAGAAGGATGGTGGTTCAAACCCACCAGTCCCTCCTCAGAAGGAAGACTGGGCAATCTACTTCCATAGAGATACCACCTCAGAAATCCAAAGAGCAGTCGTTATGAGTTGGATTTGACTCAATGGCAGTGAGTTTGGGTTATTTTTTGGAAGACTAGAGTCTAAGGTCTGCCTCAGCCATTTACTTCCACTGAGGCTATTTTCCCATCTGTAAAGTAGGGGTAATGATACCACGTCTACCTTACGGAATTCTTCTCAAGACCAAAGAAGATGGGGACGTACTACACCGATATAAGGTATTATTTAGTGCTACATACTTTGAATGCTCGTCTCTGGGTGACACAAATGGTTAATGCACTCAGCTGCTCCCCAAAAGGTTGGCAGCCTGAGCCTACTGACCTACTTCCAAGACATTAACCACTGAAAACTTTGGAGCATAGTGCTGACACACACAGGGGTCACTAACAGTTAGACTCAATCTGACAGCAACTGGACTGGTCACTCTGAGTGCTACAGAAGTACAGAAATGAGAGGGCTCAGATGACTGGAATGGTCTGGGATGGTCCACCAAGGAGGTAGGCCTGGAGGTAGCCTTTTAGGGTACTGAACCATTCACTGGACCAGGTGCTACAACACAGCAAGATGTAAAAACACACAATTTGACGACTGCTCCTAAAACAGTCTTAAGCCTGGTCCATAGAGAGTAACTACTGATCAAATTTCACCAACTGACTCCTGTCAGTCTGCCATGTATCTCAGAAACACACACTCAGTGCTCATCAAGCGCTTTGCAAAAGATACAAGCAGAAGTGGTCTCTTGAGAGAGGCTGGCAAGAAGCCCTATTTTTTAACTCTGGTTTGCAATAGAAGGGAATGAACTTGTCACTTTGCAGAGCTAACATGTGAAGAGTGACTGGACATACTACAAGAGGATCAGGGTGGTGGGAAGATTGGGAGGTAAAGGAAATTAGCAAGTGAACTCTTGGGTAACTGTCTTTCTAGCTAGAGGTTATTAAGCATTTGCCATGTAGTACATGTTTTCATGTTTCTGGGTGGTGAAAATAATTTACACACTCAGCTGCTAACCAAAGGCTGGAGTTGAGTCCACCCAGGGGATCCTAGGAAGAAAGACATGGTGACCTACTTCGAGAAAATCCAGCCATTGAAACCCCTGTGGAGCACAGGTCTACTCCCACACACAGGGTCACCATGAGTCAGAATCAACTTGATGGCAACTGGAAAAAAGATGTTTTCACCCTTTTATTCATTTAACTCTATACTACAAGCCTAGCAGGCAGGGACTCTGTTATCACCACTTCACAGATGAGGAAACTGAAGATTTAGGATTTGAACCCAGGTTGGTCTGCTTTCCAGAGCTCATGACCTTAACTGAAAGTTAAACGGCTGGGGTCTTCCAAGTATCTCTGGTCTTCATCGTGTAGTTCCAACTATGTGGCTGTGCTCTTGTTGCAGAAACCTGGCTCTCTCCGGCTCACTGACGTCTGCCATGCTTGTCCTGAGCTTCTCCAGAGAAATGTTGTCTTCTGGCAGGAAAAGATAAAAACGGCTGATAAAAATGAGTCACCAGACTCGCTATAATTAACACTGATGCAAGAGCCAGATGCAAAATAAGAGGGGCCTCAGGACACTGGCTTTTTACCGCCCCGATTTTTCACTGCCGTCAGTGCAGAAGAGTCTCAGTGGCCAAGCTTCCTCTGCTGAAGATACATTAAATGAAAAAAGAAAAAAAAGAACCCTGGAATGTACACAGGATCCAAGATACCCGAGGCCAAAAGGAGCAGCCCCAAATTAATCTCCTCATTTACAAGTAAAAAACCATACAGCAGAGGCAGAGTTTATAGATAATGGAGATCTTTGCTTTCACATTCAGCTGCCCTGGAAGGGCTAAGCTGTTTGCAACCTGCTGAGCTGATTTATGGCAACTACAGTTGTAAATTCAGTTGTACTAGGTGTTCAGCCCATGCCCTCCTGATCCCAGTGATGTAGCTGTGAACTTTTCAAAAGATCAATGTTCATTAGCGTCTGGCTATTCTTTTTTGTTGATCTGGAATAAGAAGTGATGTCTTACAAAGGTAATCTGATTAAAAGAAAATTCTACAATGTAATTCCCACTGCACCATCCACAAAACCCATTCAACCACAGCAAGAACACAATCGTTTCATGACATGACATGAAGGCAACATTCTCTGCTGCTTCTAGGATGGATAACTACCACGAAGATTCTATAGAGAAAATAAATTGTGGCCAGGACATGGATTGGTTTACTAGTGATCATCAATGATGGCTTCTCCTTACCTGTTTAAAAGAGGCTCAAATGACCCTGGAATTTGAAATCTAACTTGTCATTACACAATACAGCTGATAGAATCTTGTCACTTTCCTTTTGAATGGACTTTAATTGACAGCAAAGTGAAAAACGCAGGTTACATTTTTAGTGTTACCATCAATATGCTGTAAGATCAACACCCAAACAGTGATGCTTCTAATATTTATACATTTCCTAGTTTTAGAGCAAATCATGATCATATATATATATATGTATATATTTACATAATCATTTCAAGCAACAGTAAATAATAAAGTCCTTAAAACATACACACACACACACACATCCCCAACAACCTTTAAACAATGGATGTCCTCACACTAATAAGTCTCTTTTTTTCCCACATATACTTGTCAACCCAAAGTTATTTAAGTTACTTAAGAACAGTCTTACCAGTGGAGATCCTGGACCAGCCCCTAGTTTCTTTAGAGTCACTTAAATTTTTACAACTTAAAGCCAGGATACCCCAAATGATGAAAATGAATTTCACTTCCTTTGTGTGAAGAGATATGTACATCTCTGAAGATGAAAAGGATTACACCCCCAAAAAAGACAAAGAAAACACAAAAACAAAATCTCAGATCTTTAAACACAGTTTCTTAAGTGCATTGTACTAATGTTAAACTACACAGAAGTACTGGTTAGTTCTGATTCATTTTTCAGCTGCTTGAAACACATGGGTTTTAAAGTTGCCTGGTAGAACTACATCCTTCCTTCCAGGTTAGCAGCCTGCCTGACCTCCAGAATGTCAGACGAGCCTCACCCCCATTGCCTTGCTTTCTGATTTATTTCTTGCCGTTGCAGTTAGTAAATGGAAACCATGACAAAGTTTACATTAGCAGACACATACACATGCCCTGGCCTATAAATATTCCATGATGGAAAATGGTACAATGACTCCATTCCTAGTGAAAATGCATGTTAGAGGGAAGGGGAGATTGGAGGAACATTATCAACAATGGCTCTTACTACAGTGGAAAATCCAGACTTAAGGATGGCCTTTTAGCTAACCAGACATCATTAGCCACTTCACCAGGGCTTGGTGAGTCAACTGAAAGTCAGTAAAGCAGAGACCAATCGCCTCTGGGCAAACCTGGTAGGATCCAGTAGGAAAGGGATCTTGTCTTGAAGTTGGATGAAGAAGACGAACTGCCTTTCTTTCTTAGAAAGGTTGAGTGAGGAGCAATTTTAAAGTCAGATTTGAAAGTAGTTCACACACAGTCCTGCTTGGGATGCAGAGCTGTCCCCGGATTGGACCCTTTAAAGCGCCAGCTGGAGTTTGGTCATGTTTCTCTGGTGCATGTTATGATGGCGAACTAATTCATCAGAGCGGGCAAACTTTTTCTGACAACTGGGCCACCGACAGCTGAAGGGCTTTTCACCTGTAGACACAATTGCCAGTCAGAGACACTTGCAGCAGAAAGACAGGGCACAAATTCAACTATCAAAGGCCTGAGTCAAAGCATCACAAAGACACCCAACTCCAAATTCCCCGTAGTTCTTTCCCTATAACTCCTGTACTGGGCTTCACAGGCTGCCTTGAAATGGCCAGCACCTCTGGGGAGCTAAGTACTGAAAAACTGTAAAAACTGTAAAATATTGCCAAGTCAGAAGTCTTGGGAAATGGGACAGAAACAATGAGTCTAACTAGCTTAAATATCTACATAATTCATATTTAATTAAACCAGAATGGCTTGTGAATTACACAAAACAATCTTTCCTCTGCTGTAAAAAGGGAATTGAGCTTAACTGCACTTCAAAGGTCTCAGGATCATCACCCTGAATATTACTGGTTGATCACTGTCTAGTTCTACAGCTGTAATGTGCCTTTAATGTAGACATAGATGATATTCTGGATATTAAATACTGATACCAGTTTGACATGTTGTTTCTTTTACCTTAAAGTATTACTCAAGAGTATAATCCTTGTTATATTGAAGATTCTAGTTGAGGCAAGGGTTTGAGATTTTTACCAAGCTTGCCAAAATCTTTTCCATCTAAGGACCCCTCAGAAGTTCCTCCCAAGCCTCATTCTCTGTAGGGAAAACAATCAGCATTTATCAAATGCCTAATATATCCCAAGCCTGGTGCTATAGGAATCATATATACACTACCTCACATAATCCTTACAGCAGCCCTGTGAGGGCATCATTATTCTCCCCATTCTGCAGATGAGGGTGGACAGCTGCTAAGAGGCATATCCAGGTAGGACTCAAACTAAGGTTTGTCTAATTTCAAAGCCTGTGCTCTTTTTGGTACCACACCTCACAGGCATAGCCATAATGGAAATACACAGTATGACTTTGTCCTGTAACAAAAATGTCACAGGAGCCAACCCCAGTACCACCTGGAAGATCTTCTCAGGGTACTGCTGTCCCAGGCCTCCTTTGAAAACTATTGGTCAGGAGAAGTACTGAGGAATGTTCTGGGGAGACACTGTCCTAGGGTCAGACCAAAAAAACAAACTCACTGCCGTCAAGTCTATTTCGACTCGTAACGACCCCTCCCCTTCGGTTTCTGAGATGGTATCTCTACAGAAGTAGACTGACCAATTTTCCTTCCGAGGAGTCGCTGGTGGGTTTGAACTGCCAGCCTTCTGGATGGCAGTCAAATGCCTTAGGCATTATGCCACCAGAGCTCCTCTTAGGGTCAGAACTGAGGGCCAATTAAATACACTATTAAACAGTCTCCTGGTGACATAGGTCACTTCATACCTATGCAGATATGTACAAGGGGTACAAGGATAGTAACTCTTTCAACTTGTGAGCTCAGGACAAAATCAAAGAGGTGACGTATGCGACATGAAAGGCAACGGAGTAGAAGGCGCAAGATACCAACTCTGTGTTGATGCCCTGGCTCTGTCGCTGGGTGCAGCCTGTTTTGGTTGAGGATCTGGAACTGCAATGACTTATGATGTCATGTTTGTCTGTCTCCCACTCAGTTCCTCTGCTCCCCACCCCACCTCCAGCTATACTGTCAAAGGTCTTCTCTATTTTAATGGGCAAATCCCAACCCTTTAGTTCCTTGATCTTCATCCTTCTCAGTCTTTCAGTGGCATTTGACTTTGTTGCTTTGACTTTCTTCTTGAGTCTCTCTTCTCCCTGGGATTCTGGGTGAACCACGCTCCTTCTCCAGCAAAGAAGGCAGTGGGAGATGGTGGGCTGGGAGCAGACAGAACTGGGTTTGCTACTTACTAGCTTTGTGACTTTAGAAAATGCATCTAATCACTACATGCCTTAGTCTCCTCATCGGTAAAGCATGTCTCCCCAAATCTTCTTACAAGGATATTGTGAAGATAAAATAAGGTAACATAAGCATTGGCCCTCTTTGGAAAGCCACAAGTATGCAATAATGGTGGTACTATTTTCGTTACGAATCTCACTAGCCTTGCAGAGAAGCTAAAACATTCAGCAGCCAGTGAATGCGTGTCCTAGTCCCTCTCTGTACTAGTGTGAAGGAAATAATATCCACATGCTGTATTAGTTTGACAGAAACCATGGCTGCTCCTGGGGCATTAGCTATAGGCAGACTAAAGATTCATGAAACATGAGCTCTCAGGAGAATAAATGTTTCGTTTGCTAGAATTTCTGGGTTGTTTTTTTTTTTTTCTTTTGGAAGCCTGATTACCGTATCAGACTGAGTGATAAAAATGTGATTCAACTAATTGGGGGCGGTAAGGATCTAGCTTCTCTCTCCTTTTTCATTCTAGACGCTCATGAAAAGAGTTTTATTCACATCTCTCTCCTGCTCTGTATTTCCCGCCCCCCTTAAAAATGTTATTTAAAAATTGTCATGCACTACTTTTTCTCTCAACTGAGTCTAAACCTGCCTAGAAATTTTATACTAGTCTTTTCCAATCTCTCACAAACAACTTCATTCAACATTAGTTAAAAAAAATAATGAAAAATAAATGTGAAGAAAAGTTTACGCACTTGTTTTACCTGTATGAGTCCTGGTGTGGGTCTTCAGGTGGTCGGACCGGGAGAACTTTCGCTGACAAGTTTTACACTGGAATGGTTTCACACCTAAATGGACAGAGAAGGTCTAGCCATGGCCCTAACATCGCGGAGGTACAGTGAGGCCCAGAAGACCTGCTTCCCTGCACCTGAGGAACCCAGAATTTTGGGCTATGCTTGCACCATCTGCCTCTCCCTGGGGTATTCCCCAATACCCCAGGCCCAACAGGAAACACTTGATTCTGTACAGTAATCCTTGAGGACCTTCTTGTATTTTGGGAACAACCATTTCTTAACCACAAATGTCCAGCTTCTCACCAGCTGGGATGTCTCAGCTGTTTCAGAGACAGAAAGAGTGAATCACATGCTGTTTGTGATTAGATTCTGCTCTCCACCACCCAAGTTCTTTACTGATGCCCACTGTATCTTCCAGCAAATTGTTAGTGGGAATTCATTGTTCTGTGGTTTTAGGAACATCTGTGGGATGTTTATCTTTTCTTTCTTTTAAGAGAAGAAAAATCCCCAGAAATTTAAAAAATAATAATAATATGTATAGAAAAAATTTAAACAGTCAATCCTCTCGTCCATATTTAACAACAACAACAACAAAAATATATTATAATAATCAACCCTAACCCAAGGGAACAGAACTGCCAGCTATAGAAGTGAACCTACAAACCTGTGTGTCTCCTTTGGTGTCTTTTGAGCTGGTCTGAACGAGAAAACCTTCGCTCACAGTCCTTGAAGTCACACTGGTACGGCTTTTCACCTCGGGGAAGACACAAAATCTATTTGCAAACTATACTGGAAATGGGGATCTCATTAAAGGAAGGGAGTCTCTCCTATTCAAACCCAAGGGGTCCAAAAATGCTTAAGGCACTTGAAGAGAGTGCCTGTTAAGGGTGGTGATAGCTACCACAGCCTGAGATAAAAGGCATATCTATACATAAGCTTGGGAACTCTGGTGGCAGAGTGCTAAGGCACTTGACTGCTAACCAGAAGGCTTGAGGTTCAAACCCACCAGATACTTCTTGGAAGAAAGGTTGGGTAATCTACTTCCGTAGTGATACTGCCTCAGAAACCCAAGGAGGGGTCGCTGTGAGTTGGATCTGACGTGATGGCAGTGAGTTTTGAATACATAAGCTCAGGAGTCCTAGGTGTTGCACATAGTTAACATGCTCATAAAAGGTTGGTGGCTTAAGTTCACCCAGAGGGGACTTCTGAAATACTAACTTTTAAAAACCCTATGGAGCACAGTTCTACTCTGACACTCATGGGCTTGCTATGAGTCAGAACTGACTCAATGGCTACTGGTTAGGGGTTTGTAGGTTCATATGCTCCTGGACAATGGGTACAGAATGGGGGTCTAGGTGAATGAGGGTGGTCCTGAGTCTCAGAAGTCAACAGGATCTCTAACAGGAGTTAGAGTCTGACACAAGAGTCACACCCAGCTTTGCCACTTAAACATGGGGCGAGGTGCAGTTTCCTTGTTCTGAAATGGACCAATAATCTGACATCCTCCAAGGATTTATGAACAGATTAAATAAACCAGGTCACTCACGTAAAGGGCTTAACCCAATGCCTAGTACAGAAGCAGGTCCTCAAAAAACAGGGGTAGAGAACAATTAGAGAAGTAATAGACCAACAAGTGTTAACTCAGGCAGAGTCTGAGGCAGAATTCTAGGGCAGATGTGCCTTAGAGACAACCCCATGATTAAGTGTTTTACGATTGAAGATTTGGAATTCTCTGCTACTAACTTCTTATTCCCGAATCAAGGACAAACAATTCCATAGCTGTAAGATGTGCAATTTAAATCCAGAGCCAAACTGTGTAGAAAGATTTTGGTAGCTCTTTCTCCAGTGGCATTAGGGTTGGTGTCACCAGTATGGTAACTGATGTCACCACCTCTGCATAGACCTCCTCCCACACCAGACCATACAGAATCCTTCTTCTTGTTATGTGCCGTCGAGTCGGCCCCGACTCATAGCGACCCCTCCTTGGGTTTCTGAGGCAGTATCACTACGGACAGAATCCTTAGTAATGTTTATTACCAATTTTAATCATAGAATAGTATGTGGCAACTAGTTTTAAATTTCTTAAATGTAGTATTTCTTAGATTATGTGAATATTAACAAAATAGTTTTATAAAATCTTTCTACATTAAATTGTAACATTACTAGTTACATTATTAGGAGCTCTGGTGGCGTACTGCCTAAAGCACTTGACTGCTAACCAGAAGGCTGGCGGTTCAAACCCATCAACCACTCCTCGGAAGGAAGGTTAGGCCATCTACTTCCATAGCGATACTGCCGCGGAAACCCAAGGAGGGGTCGCTATGAGTCAGAGCCGACTGGACGGCACATAACAACAACAAGAAGTTACATTATTAGTAATTGAGTGGAAGCCTTTTTTTTTCCTTTTTCTTTGATTACTACTTCACTTTTTAAAGTTATTAATATAACTTTTGGTTCACAAATACTAAGTACCATAATACTGTAGGTAAAACACCAGAAAAACTGACAAAATCAGCAACTATAAAAACACTGACAGTAATGAAAACAACAGTGCATGCTTGTAGTGCATGCAGATGAAACCACACTACTTGAAGCATCACTGTAATTGGATAAAAATAATGACAGCACTGACCAGAGAACATCAGAAGGTTCAAAAAGTAAACTTTGTAGGTGTAAAGAAACATAAGCTGGGCTTGAAAAATAGGTTTCATTGCTTTAACTAATGACATGGATATTTTTTTAAATAATAATAAATTTCTGCTGAAACAATGCACAAAAATTTTATATAGACAGTCCCTTTGGTGTCACTCATTCTGACAGTGTCACCTGGTGTCGTCCACACCCTCTGCACCTTCCTAATGACTCCACTGCCTTTTATCAGAGAAGACAGTGGTCTGATTTCACAATCTCCTGCCTCAGAGTGGAGAAGTCCCACCCTTGTCCTCTTTAACGAAAGTTCAGCCAAATACTGGGACTGGGCCCAAGAGCACCCAGCAACCGCAGGCCTTCCCATCTTCTTATGAGAATTCTGAGTCACAAGGATTCCGGGATAGGGAGCAAGCCACTGCAGTTCAGGCAGGTCTTTGCGCTGTAGAGTGGCTCCTAATGCCCTTTCCAACCTTGAAATCTCCTCTATTTCCCTGATTAATCTATATTCCAGCTACTCCACACTCTTACCATTCCCCAAGTCCTTTTCCACTTCGCTCACACTATTGATTCCACAATGCCCTTCATCCTCATCCCTACATTTCTATGTATCAAAAGCCTCCCCCATTCCTCACAAATGCCATTTCCTTTGCAATGCTTTCTTGGAAATTTCATGTTCAGATTTAAACCTCTTTAGTCCCTCATTACAGGACGTATTACAAAACATCTCCTAATACAGTAAGCTGTGTCTAGGTCTACCTTCATCAATGGGCTGGCAATTCCTAAGGGCAGGAGGCTTTTCTTAACTATATGTTGTTGTTGTCGTTATGTGCCGTCGAGTCGGACCCGACTCATGGCGTCCCCTCCTTGGGTTTCCGAGGCAGTATCACTATGGCAGTAGATCGCCCCATCGTTCTTCTGAGGAGTGGCTGGTGGGTTTGAACTGCCCACCTTCTGGTTAGCAGTCAAGTGCGTTAGGCACTATGCTACCAGACCTCCCTTCTTAACTATATATCCAATCCAATTCCTTAAGCTTCAAGTCTTCAACTTGGAAAAAGCAACAACTCCTATTCAATTTGCTTTTCTTTCTGCTTCTGTTCATTCTTCATTTCTTTTGCCTTAAAGCCCTTCCTGCTCTAAGAAACCTCTGATGATTCCACCTCAAATCAACACCCTCTGAACTCCCCAGCTTCCCTAGCTTCTGATTTGCTGTATTGACTTATACCACCTTACTCTCTTTTCACTTGTGCATACTCTAGATATGCACCATCAACTCTAGAAGAAAGAGATTGTGACATGGAGTAAGAGTTTTAATCCTGGTTCCACAATATCCTGCTCATCTGGTAATTATTAGTCAGGGAGGGATGTTAAATGAAATAATGCATGCAAATAGCCTGCGACATAAAAGGTACTTAGTATAATGTACTTAATAGTTTGTATTGTTATTTTTAAAATAAGAAAACACTATATTCTTTTGAGAAGACGGCTACAAGATTGTTAAACACTAGCTTGCCATCCTCACTGCCTGTAAGAGCAAGCTTCTTAAAGACTCCAGAGGGTCTGGGGACCTCGGATACCTTGTCCAGTGACTCCCTTCACATAAACTGCTAACCCCATCGCTTTCTAAGTGTTTCATTCCCATTAAAAGGCTCAAGGGCTGTACTTCTCCTCAATGAATTCTCTTTTTTTCCCCCCCAGGAAAATTTTGACTTCTCATATTCCTTAAAATCTTGACATATCTTTTTCAAATGATCCTATTTAAGGCATTATGTAAAAATATAATTATATTATGGTCTCTCATCTTTAGTCCCCAAAAATGTGGGCTTACTGAATGCAAAGTTAGGCTTTGCCCAGAACTGCATCCCCCAGACAATATGAGTCAACAAAGTCCAATGGTATCAATGAGATTGGAAAGCAGCCTGCTTGCTTCCCTAGTTCCTAACATCAAGGTCAGTAGCTGCTGCTGTCAGGTGCTGCTGAGTCGGTTCTGAATCATAGCAACCCTCTGCACAACAAAACCAAATACTGTCCAGTCCTGCATCATCCTCACAATCGTTGCTATGTCTGAGCCCACTGCTGCAGCCACTGTGTCTGTCAATCCATCTCATTTAGGGTCTTCTTTTTTTTTCCCCTGACCATCTACTTCACTACACGTAATGTGCTCCTCCAGGGATTGGATGCTTCGGGTAACATGTCCAAAGTACGTAAGATGAAGTCTCGCCACCCTCACTTATAAGGAGCATAGGAGGCGACTGAAACGGCTTGGGCAGGTGTAACTTAGTCCTTGAAGTGACGTTTCTGCTTTTTTATACTTTAAAAAGGCCTTTGCAGCATATTTGCCCAGTGCAATACATCATTTAATTTCCTGACTGCGGCTTCCATAGGTGTCAACTGTGGATGCAAGTAAAATGAAATTCTTGACAACTTCAATCATTTCTCCATTTATCATAATGTTGCTTGTTGGTCTGATTGTCGATGACTTTTGTTTTCTTTATGTTGAAGTGTAATTCATACTTGAGGCTACAGTCTTTCATATTCAAAAGCAAGTGCTTCAAGTCGTCTTCACATTCAGCAAGCAGGGTTATTCGTCATCTGCATACCATTGGTTGTTAATATGTCTTCCTCAAGCTATGAGTCGGGGGCCGACTCGACGGCACATAACAACAACAACAACAACAACAACAAATTCTGATGCCTCATTCTTCATATAATCCAGTTTCTAGGATTATTTGCTCAGTATACAAATTGAATAAGCATGGTGAAAGGACAACCCTGATGCGCACCTTTCCTGTTTTAAAACCACATAATATCCCATTATTCTGTTCAAAGGACTGCCTCTTGGTCTATGTACAGGTTCCACACAAGCACAATTAAGTATTCTGGAATTCTCATTCTTCCCAATATAATTTATTATTCACATCATCAAATGTATTCTCATAGTCAATAAAACATAGGTAGATATCTTTCTGTATTCTCTACTTTCAGCTAAGATCTCTCTGACATCAGCAATGGTATCTCTTGTTCCACAACCTCTTCTGAATCTGCCCTGTATTTCTAGCTGCTCCCTTTCAATGTACTATACTGCAACCATTTTTTAATTATCTTAAGCAAAATTTTACTTGCATGTGATACTAATGATATTGTTTGGTAATTTCTGCATTCTGTTGGATCACCTTTCTTTGAAATGAGCACAAATACGGATCTCTTCCAGTGACTTGGCTAGGTAGCTAGCTGTCTTCCAAATTCCTGGGCACAGGAGTGGCATTTCCAGCATTCCATCTATTTGCTGAAACATCTTGTTTTCATTACCTAGTGTCTCTGGTAGCGTAGTGCCTAAGGCACTTGACTGCTAATCAGAAGACTGGCAGTTCAAACCCACCAGCCACTCCTTGGAAGAAAGATGGGGCAATCTACTTCCATACTGATACAGCCTTGGAAACCCAAGGAGGGGTTGCTATGAGTCGGGTCCGACTCGACAGCACATAACAACAACAACAGTGTTGCTATGATGGTAATATACCACAAATAGGATGCCTGAACAAACAGGAGTTTACTCTCTCATAGTTTGGAGGCTTGAAGTCTGAGTTCAAAGTGCCAGGCTCTAGGGGCTGGGTGAATGCCCCTCAACCTTGGGCTTCAGCTCTGTCTCCTACTCCTGGCCCACTGAAGCTAGAGGCTTTTCTTCACTGAGATACCTGCTGGTTGCTGAGGCTGACAAGCCCAAGGTTGAAAAGTAAAAAGGCACAGTCCCAATGTTACCAAACCACATGGCAGGCCATTAGTTCAAGTCCATTTAAAGTCCCAAGGTTGACAGAGCATGCATGGCAAGCTGCCAAATGATGACACAGCTACGTGCAGAGTTCAAGTGTGCCATAAGCTAGAGACTATTCACGAAACTGCTTCTTATATACGGGAAGCAAATCGCATCCCTAAAGCAGCTACTCAGCTGTTTGTGGTAGATCCCACCACAGAGCTGATTGCCAGTCTCATCATGGGGAGTAACTACCACCAGCTGCCCAACCACGTTGACACACAACCTTAACTACCACACATCTCAATCAGTATTCCTTTAATTCCTGGATCCTTGTTTTTTGCCAGTGCCTTCAATGTAGCTTGGACTTCTTCCTTTAAATACCATCAGTTCTTGATCATATGCTACCTCCTGAAAGGGCTGAACGTCAACCAATTTTCACTGATACAGTGACTCTGTATATTCTTTCCATCTTTTTTTGTTTTTTAAATTTTGCCATAGAATTCCTCAATACTGCAACTTGAGGATTAACTTTTTCCCTCAGTTCTCTCTCCTCTTGAGAAATGCTGAACATGTCCTTCCCTTTTGGTTTTCTAACCAGGTCTTTGCACATTTCATTTTAATACTTTAATCTGTCTTCTCAAGGTACATTTTGAAATCTTCTGCTCAGCTCTTTTATCATTTCTTCCTTTTGCTTCTTTCCTTTTGCTTTAGCTCTACCTTCAAAAGAGCAAGTTTCCGAGTCTCTTCTGACATTCATTTTGGTCTTTTCTTTCTTTCCTGTCTTTTTAATGATGTTTTGCTTTTTTCACGTGTGACATCCTTGATGTCAACCCACAACCTGTTTGCTCTTTGGTCCTTAGTGTTCAATGTGTCAAATATATTCTTGAGATGGTCTCTAAATTCAGGTAGGATATACTCTAGGTCATACTTTGACTCTTGTGGACTTGTTTCAAGTTTCTTCAGGTTCAACTTGATCTAGCATATAAGCAATTGATGGTCTGTCCGCAATCGGCATGTAGCCTTGTTCTGACTGATGATATTAAGCTGTTACCGTTGTCTCTTTCCACAGATGTAGTCTATTTGAGTCCTATGTATTCCTTCTGACAAGGTCCATGTGAACAGTCACTATCTATGTTGCTGAAAAAAGGTATTTCCCATGAGTAAGTCTCGCAAAATCCTATCGTAAGATCTCTGGAGTCGTCTCTTTCATCAACGCTGTATTTTCCAACTACTGATCTTTCTTCTTTGTTTCCAACTTTCACATTTCAATCACCAGTAATTATCAGTGTATCTTGATTGCATGTTTTATCAATTTCAGACTGCATTCAAAATACTTCAAAGTAGCCAAGAAAAAAAACAACCAAACTCACTGCCACACAGTCAATTCCAACTCATAGCGGCAGCCCCCATCAGGTTTCAAAGCCCGTAAATTTTGACAGAAGCAGACCGCCTCATCTTTCTTCTGAGGAGCGGCTGTTGGGATGGAACCACTGACCTTTCGGTTAATAGCCAAATGCCTTAACCACTATACTACCAGAGCTCTTCTTCAAAGTAAGAGTTTAAGTTAATAATGCAGTTAGAGTAAAGCTACTGAGACATTTATTTGGTGATGTGGCATGACTCAAAATGAGAAGAAACAGTTGCAAACATCCACTACTAATCAGAATGTGGAATGTATGAAAATGTATGAATGTGCAATCTAGAAAAAAGAGAAGTCATCAAAAATGAAACAAAATGCATAAAGACCTATATCCTAGGCATTAATGAGCTGAAATAGCCTAGTATTGGCCATTTGAATTGGAAAATCGTATGACCTAAAGGAGCTCTGGTGGCGTAGTGCCTAACCATTTTGACTGCTGACCAGAAGGCTGGCGGTTCAAACCCACCAGCTGCTCCTTGGAAGGAAAATTGAGCAACCTACTTCTGTAGAGACACTGCCTCAGAAACCCAAGGAGGGGTCACTAGGAGTTGGGACCGACTTGATGGCAGTGAGTTTATTTATTTTTTTAAAATTATGGCAGGAATGACAAATTGAATAGGAAAGGTGTTACATTCATCATCAAAAAGAACGTTTCAGGATCTATACTGAAGTACAGCTGTCAGTGATAGGATAATAGCCATTCACCTAGAAGGAAGACCAGTTAATATGACTATTATTCAGTTTTGTGCACTAACCAGTAATGCCAAAGATGAAGAAACTGGAGATTTTTTCCAACTTCAGCAGCCTGAAATTCAGCAGAATAGTAAAATAATATTGGCAATGTTAACAAGGGAGCTGTCCTTCAGTTGTGGAAAGAATGTCACTACTCACCGATGGGAACATGCACTTTGCACTGCTTCCCTGTAGGGGAGACCCAAACACACTCCTGTCTACTACCCACAGGCCAAGAATAAACATTTGTGAAATACTTATTCACACACTAGGGGGTCAACAACCAGATAGGCTAATTCTCTGCTTCCCAGAGGAAGATCCCTTGGCCTGAGAAAAACACACTTTTCCTGGATACATCATCGAACACCATCTTCTCTCTCTTTTTAAGCTAGATACAAAAACAAAACCTACAATCCATTTTCCCATTCCTATCTGGTGAAGTTTTTCTTCAAACTGTCTCTTCCTAAATCTTATGGTAACAGCAGCCATCCACCTCTCACATCTCCTGATTACGACACTCCCAGCCTGGCTCCTCTCTCTTTAGAGGCAGTAACAGGATTATAATTGTGTACCACCATCATTTATCCACGTTGATCGACAGAGGGAGTCCCTGGGTGGTGCAAGCAGTTAATGCACTTGACTGCTTACTGAAAGGTGGGAGGTTTGAGTCTACCAAGATGCACCTAAGAAGAAAGGGCTGGCAAGCTATTTCTGAATAATCAGCCCCTGAAAACCCTAAGGGACACAGTTCGACTCTCACATGGGGTTACCATGAGTTGCAATTAACTTGATGCCAACTGGTTTTAATTGACATACCAGCATTCACTAAGTGCTTCACCTCTGTAATTCCTTTCATTCAATTTGGCTTAATTATCATTTCCATTTTCAACATGAAGCAAATGAAGTTCGGAGACAGATTAAATAATTTGCACTAGTGGTGAAACCAGGATTCAAACTCAGGTCTCCTTAATTCTGCAGCCCTTGCTTTTCCCATCACTCTACCCTGCCCCTTCCTGTACACAGTTTATTGGCTTCTTTAAGAAAGGTTATGGACAATTAGGATGCGAAATGGCACTGCAAGTCTTTTGCATCACCTTGGCCAGTACCTTGCAAAGCAGGGCCTATTTGTCATCCTAGAAATTACCTGGCATCAGCCCTGTGGCCTTAGCGGTCAGTGTGAGATCCCAGAGCAGGAGTGCCTGAACCACTGCTGCCCAGAGGTGGCTGAAACCAAGGGGAGATGGTGGACACACTTACCAGTGTGCTTCCGGCTGTGCATCTGCAAGTGGGACAGCTTAAAGTATCTCTTGTTGCAGCCCGGGTAAGCACACATGAAAGGGCGTTTCTCACTGCTCTCAGATGCCGATCGCACAAGAGTTGGAGCTACTCCAGGCACACGCCGCACGTCCTGTAAGCGGAGAGTAAGAGGTGAGAGGAAGGGAGGCCTTAAGCCACATGTAAACATGGGAAGATTCACATAGGGAAAGTGAACACTGGAAGAGACCCAAAGAAGGAATGATAGATATGTGGCCTAAAACCATTTCCCTATACGGCCTAAATGTTCACAGCAAACATTACTAATAGATGACAGATCAAGAAATTCTACAGTGCAATGCTCTGACATCATCACTACTCATCAACTAACAACGGCACATGAACTGAAGGCTATTTAGGGTTGCTGACCCACATGATGTGAATAATAAATCCTGGTGACTGGAAGAGCTGCCAGTTGATCCTGTCTCTCAACTTCTCCACCTGAAGCAGCAGCAAGGTCTGGAAGTCCCAAGGTACAGACTTGATTCTCTTACTTCCCACCCACTTGGAGACATGACCACATGACCTTAGGCCCAATTTGCAATGGATGGGGAATTTTTATTATTGGAAAAAATACAAGATGCTAAAGGAACCCCAAACTGACCAGACCTTCCATGAGTGGATAAAGGATGAATGAGCCTTTGAGATTTGGGCTTTCTGTCTCTGAGGAAGAGATGAAAGAGATGCATGGTGTAGACAGTACAATCCTTTTAGTACTGACATGGAAAATGCTGTGGAATCTATCTGCATTTTACATGTCCCTCACAGAACATTTTCTTGATCCCTTTTTATCTAGGGGAGAGTGCCATGTGTATTCTGTCAGTCTTTCGTGAAAAGGAACTAGAGGGAAATGTAGGGACAAGCTCCCCTTACAGCTTTCAGGATCAACCAACCATAGATCCAGAGCTCTGGAAGTCCCTTAGGGACCACTAAATTGTACCTGTACCCATTCATTTACAGATGTGTGACTCAGGCCTAAGAGGGTGAATGGCTGACACAAGAGCAAATCTTTGTTTTGTGTTAAAAGTTGGAACCACCTCTCAGCTTAACTGACTCCCAGCCTTAGGCATTTTCCATTCTACCCCATTACTATTTCACACTGCCTTGCATCATGAAGTTATGGTCTTTTTTTTTTTTTTAAAAAAAAAAAGCACCGTTGTGCTGTACAACTTTGCTACTGATAGGCCATAGTGTCGCTGGACAAATGATAGCATAAAAATTAAATTGTGAGCCAGCTGTGTTTGATTTAGCATTTACTCTGGGAGAAAATGGGGAGGTACTGAAGTGACACCTGTCCAATCTGGAGTTCACCAGAGGTCATGATGGCAAGTCTGAGAAACTAGGCTTGGTGGGCAGGAAGGCAAAGGAAGCCCTTTTCATTTCCTCTAATTCATCATACATGCAGCGTACATGGCAAGAGGATATAAAATTGAGTTGTTAATGTCAGTTGGGGTTTGGTGGAGGATCTTGCTGGTACCTGGGAGGAGAGACAGGAGGACTTGTTCTAAACCTCCATCAGATTTGCCTATTTTTGTAACCCTTGTCTTTGTTTCTCACCATTGGGAGCCTTTGGGTGAGAAAGCACACAGTTCTAGCATCAGGGTATACCAATGTAAGTATTAATCAGAACATCTCAGAGCTACTTGCCCCACACACAACTTTTTTCTAGTGTACTGACTATTCTGCTCAAAGTATCAAAGCTGTTACTCATGTTGCAGCCACTAAGTCACCCACATAAGTCACAGATGCAAACCCTTGGTAACTACATGTAGTTTTGACCACCCAAAAGAAGTTCTGCAAAGGTGGCCTTCTGTAGACTTTCCTGCATTCTTCGAAACTTTCTACTTTCTTCACTCTCCTTGGGAAAAAAAAAAAGTCAAACTCATTACCATCAAGTGGGATCTGACTCATAGCAACCCCTCCTTGGGTTTCTGAGGTGATGTCTCTATAAAAGTAGATTGCCCTATCTTCCTTCCAAGGAGTGGCTGGTGGGTTTGAATCTCCAGCTTTCTAGTTAGCAGTCAAATGCCTTAGGCACTACACCACCAGAGCTCCCCACTCTCCTTGGAGACATTCCCAAATAATGTTCATAGCTCTGTGTGTCCCCAGGAAGCACTAAAACATGCTAATTAAAAAACAAGAGTTCTAGAATCAGACAGCCAGCTGTAAGTCGCAGTTCCTCCACTTACTAGGTGGGTAATGTGCACAAGTCATCCAGGTTTTCTGAGCACCAGTCTCTTCATGTACATAACACAGGATAATAACTGTACCTATCTCATTCCTGGAATATAAAGAGTGCTCAGCTATAGATGATACTATTATTATTATCAACATGTGTTAAAGCAGAATCCAACTTTCAGCATACTATAATGAAGACCCAATCTTCTCTGAAGTCCAGGGTCCAGATCATTACGTCAAGCCCAATTAACCCAAATGCAAGAGCTCTGCAGCCCATTCTGGAGAAGGTGAATGAAGCACTGGAGGAGGAAGGAGGGCATCATGCAGGAAGTATCCTGGTCTGAGTCAGGGAGGCAGTGGTGATTCACTGGCTATTGAGAGAGAAGGAAGCTGGCTTATCTGAGTGAAAGAGGAGGGGGTCCTTGATAGCACAAAAGCCTATAATTAGGAACAGGCTTGCCTCTGCCAAATGGTCCATCAACAAGAAATTTAAAGACTGTTGGGAAAGGAAAGAAACAGTGTAGTCCACTTGCAGCTGTAGCATTGCCAATATACTCACCTGAATGCCCCTGAAGACGCCATGGGTGTGTATTCTGTACTGGGCACCACAGAGAATGGGTGTGGTATGATTATCACTCTCGTACCCTGTGCCGTGGCTGCAAACACAAGGAAGAGAGAACAAGGCTTGGGGTTGGCTTCGAGTTGCTCTTTGGAAATGTTCATCTGCAGCCAGGAGGGAATGTTTTTTAAAAGCTCAAAGACGGAAATAGTTGGGTATTGCCTCCCTCCATAGGGCTACTTCAGACGCAGGGCTCTGTACAAAGCAGGCTGCTCAGTCCTGGAGTAAAACCACAGGCATCCCCCCGTGCCCTCAGTCTCTCTGAGGAGCACCGTCGGGGCCTATGCCTCTCTCAGACAAGCAAGGAAACATCACAGTGGCAGGATTTCATCCCCATCAGGTTGTTGACCATCTGCACACAGGGCTGACAGCTGCACACATATCCCAGGAATGAGCAGAATGCCTCAAGTTTCACATTAAGTGCACTGGGTTTCTGTCAGCATCTCATGACTCAGTTTTTACCAGACTGCACCAAGAAAGTGATGACACTTACAAGAAGAGACATCACGCCCTCAGAAGTGGGGATTACATACCCATGGCCTGGCTCCCTGCTTAGCCCACAGATCAGCTTTCCAGATCAGTTTAACTCTTTGTAGACAACCCATGCCACAGGTGGACACTGGATAACCCTCCCATTAGACTGACTAGTCCTTTGGTTGATGGCCAGATTAACCTTGGTCTACTAGTGAGAGCTGAGGGATGTGGTATGTTGCAAAGAACAAGTTGGAAGGGGTAGATGTCTGCTGTTCAGGTAAAATGCTGAAATCTGATCTCCAGTTATTTTATGTCCAAGTGAGGCAGAGTGAGGATTCTCACTGTGGCAGCATATTGGACTCCCATCTAAAATCACCATGGGGAGTTGTTAAGAAGTGCCTCCATGAAATGGTGCAGCTGCTGTGGAAAACAGCCTGAATGTTCCTCAAAAGATTAAACACAGGGGTACTATACACCTAGCAATTCTATTCTTCAGCATATATTCAGAAAAAACGAACACACACATCACACACAAAACTTATCTGTAATTGTTCACAGCAACATCATTCTTAATAGCCAAAGTAGAAACAACTCAAATGCCCAACAACTGATGAATGGTTAAACAACAAAATGTGGTATTATGGACAATACAATATTGTTCAGCTATAAAAAGGTATGAAGTACTGATATATGCTATAACCGGAAAACATTAAGTTAAAGAAACTAGTAACAAAAGACCACATATTGTATAATTCCATTTGTATGAAATGTACAGAATAGGCAAATCTACAGAGTCAGAGAGTAGATTAATGGTTGACTATGGAAGCAATAGGAACTCTGGTGGCGCAGTGCCTAAGGCACTTGACTGATAACCAGAAGGCTGGCGGTTCAAACCCGCTAACCACTCCTCAGAAGAAGGTTGGGCATTCTACTTCTGTAGTGATGCCGCCTTGGAAACCCAAGGAAGGGTTGTTATGAGCAGATCTGACTTGACAGCAGCGAGTTTTTTTGAGTTATGGAAGCAACAGTCAAGAAATCAAACAACATATTGCATTAGGCAAATCTGCTTAAAAAAAAATTTCTTTAGAATCTTACAAAGCAAGATGTCATTTTGGTGATTAAAGTGCACCTGACCCAAACCATGGTATTTCCAACTATCTCATATGCATGCAAAACACTGGAAAGGGAAGAACGAAGAACTGATCCATTTGAATTGTGGTGTTGGCAAAGAATACTGAGTATACCAAAAGAGCAAATAAATCTGTCCTGGAGAAGTACAGCCAGGACGCTCCTCACTTCTAGTGAGGACGGAAGACTTCATCTTGCTTACTTCAGACACGTTATCAGACAGACTAGTCTCTGCAAATGGACATTACATTTGGTAAAGTAGAGAATCAACAAAAAAGACGACTCTCAATGAGACGGATTAACACAGTGGCTACAACAACGAGCTCAAAAATAGCAACAACTGTGAGGATGACACAGGACCAGGCAATGATGTGTCTGTTATACACAGGGTCACTATGAGTTGGAGTCCACTTGGCAACAACAAAGGGAGAAATGGAGAATAACTGCTGAAGGTGTGCAAAAATTGTAATGGCTGCACAACTCTATGAATATACTAAATAATCACTGAATTGTACACCTTAAGTGGGTGAACTGAATGATATGTGAAATATACAAAACAGCAAATAAATAAATACACACACACACACACACACATATACAAAGTTGCTAAAAAGCCATTAGCATTTGTAAAGCCTCAGGTAAGATTGGCTCCAACTGGCTACTGGGGCTAAGAATTTCTATCCTCTAGAGATTTCAGGGATCCTGTTGCAGGAACTAGGTAACTCAGTGCCATTCATCTGATGGGATGTGCACAAAGCCTGGGGTTGGCTTTCTCACTCACCCAACAGAAAATTCCTGGAAGGGAAGAGCATCTACCAGGAGACTGAAAAGTCCACAAATCCTGGGGCCACACCAGCTGTGGGATCTCACATTTCAGTAGGATTCCAACTTTTCAGAAAGAATTTGTTTCCTTTACATGGAGTAATGGTAGCAAGTTTGGGTATATGGGTGGCATTTCTGCTACCCCATTCTCCACATCCTTGACATATCTGGGGGAAAATGTATCAAAGAGATAAAACTACAAAGAAAGTTGAGGAGAAATACCAAACCCAGCTATTATCTGCCTTTCTGACCCTTAGAATGTGTTCGCCAGAAAAAGCGTTCATGTCTACCTTCTCTACAATCATACGGCAAAGGAGCGAGAACTGGTGGCAGTGGCATGTGGTAACAGAAAGACGACAGGACCAGTGTGACCTTGCCAAAACATTTTGCCTCAGAGGCTGTGAAGAGATTCTGCCTTTGCCAGTTCAACCCACTGCATGAAGTCAGAAAGCAACTTACACATTTTGTTGGAATGAGGGATATTTAGGAACACCAAAATCATAGAATATACTTTTTGAAAAAGTTCTGCCTTCCAAAGGGAAGATGTACAATTTCCTGTCTTGACAGATATCTCTGGGTGCTAGCTAGCTGGAGTTCCTAGAGGGTAAGGGGTATGGGAAACAGACTTCCCTCATGGTACTTGTCCTAAGGAACAAAGTATTATGAGACATTCAATGACCCTCATGACCAGATGCAAACCAACAAACAAAAGCAGCAACAGCAACAAGACCGTACCTGCTGTTCATGCCATCCGATTCTTTTATCAGGTCCATGAATAAGAAAAGCAGAGAAGTCACTGCCTATATGCAGTAACGGAATGCTATGGCCCTGCAATTTACCACTCCTCCTAGCTTGGCTTGCCCAGAACAATGAGAATAATAAGTAAGCATTTAATATGGTAATGATTCTCTCTAGGAAAGCAACTTGGTAATCTTAGAACCATAGACCAATAGAGGTAGACAGGATCTAGACAGGCCATCTATCTAGTTCATCCCCCAAAACCAGGCAACATGACTGATGACCAGTATTCAGGGCAGCTCATTCTATGTGGGGACAACTTTGTCAGGAAGGGCCTAGCCAAACTGAGCTGACGTCAGTCTCCTCATTTCCGCTTTCTGGAGAACCACAAAATGAGTATCACTATTTTACAGCCATTTCTAAGCACCTTCTCTATTTGATGTTAACCTTGGCCTTGAGGGCAGAGACTGCCTTGCTCCTCTTTGTATCCTCTAAACGTAATGACTGCAGTAAAGTGCACAGTCCATAATCATTCCCTGGGATATCCTGGGATATCTAACGCTTCTTCCACAGGACAACCCTTCAGATATTTAAAGATGGTGCTCCAGCACTGTGGTTCTCTAACTGCAATGTTAACTGGTGTCTTAATTCCTTTACCTTCCAGGTCATCCACTCTTGATCTGTGTTTTTGTTACGTCTCTCTCAAAGTGAGAGCCTAGACTGGAACCCACTGCCCTAGAAGTGTGCTGGCCAGTACAGAGATGCATTTATCTGCACGCTTTCCTAAGGGGCAGGGAGATAGGCAATTATCCCCAAACACAGAAGTCTTTAGAGGCAGGAAAGATACGTAAGTGCTGAAGATTGGAAAGTTCGTGTCTCATCCAAAAGGATTCCATCTGAAGGTTTCAAAAATCACCATGTTAGTTAAATACAACACAATACAACACATTAGACCACAGGCTGCTAGTACTCCCTCCCTGGGCAGGAGGATTGCTCTTAAAACACCTAAGAGCAAATAAC